GATATATTTAACCATGTACTATGTCAGACGCTGCTGCCTGTCTACTGACCAATCATTCTCTCCCTCATTATTACAAAAAAAATACCTGATGGTTTTAGGTATTGGGGCATCAGGGAACCCAGGAGAGGAAAGGTGAGTCTTCATTAGTGTGCTCTAAGGAAGGGAGCCCCATTCACCTTGTTGCACATGGCGCTGAGTGGCCGACAATGAATTGTACAGCAACATCTGCAGAGGGCCCCCTAGGGTCATAAGAAAAGTAAACCCTCTTTCTGTCTCTAGATGCCTGGACATGCAGCAGGCACCATGGAACAAAGTGAAGCTTTTTTAAAGAATAGCCAACAAGGGTGGGAAGAGCACAGGGACCATGGTGATAGTTCATGGGTGAGTGGGTGGTGGGAATTTATGGGGACTATCACCAAGATGAAAATGCATACATTGTACAAAAATGAAAAATGATATAAAAATATATAAAATAATTAAAAATAAATAAATTTTAAAAAAGAACAGCCAATGGGCCTCACCAGTGACCTAGGGGTTGAGTATCAGCACTGTCACCCCTATGGCCTGAGTTGGATCCCCAGCCAGGGAGCTGACCCACATAGGGCGCAGCAGACCTCTCCTGTCTTGCTTGCTCCTCCCCTCAGCAGTGGATTTCAGTCAATTCGCCTGGTCTGCATCCCATTCTGTTTCTGGGGAATCCTTTCACCCCCCGCCCCCCACTTCTGGCCTATATCCTAGTTCTTCAATGCAAACAAAACAAAACAAAACAAAAAGCAACAGCCAACCTTCTGAGGCTGGCAGGGCAGGATGGGAGAAACTTCCACTTCCAATGACCCCATTAAGCCAATAAATTATCTAGCCCAGAAATGGTCTTATCTCCAGGCTACCTCTTAAATGAGAAAACTGTTATTTCCTTTGACAGCATTTAAGTCATTTTGAGTTTGGGTTTCCTGCTGTTTGCAGTAAAAAACCAAACTGATTCTGTAACAAGGACAATTTGGACTAAATGAGCACATATTATTGAAACAACTTATCACCCTGATGCGGTATCTAGATGTAAATCAATTCTGTTTTTCAACGCAAGGTGTTAAGTCTCTAAGTATTTTCACTAATAAAATGGACAGAGTTATATGCTATTTGGAGGTTGGTTTAGAAACAAATTTTCTCTTTTGCTGATGGGAAGACATGGCCATTGATTCCTCTATGTTTTTTGATGTCCACGCTCCTATCCCTTCTCTCTTTCTTCATTGCCCATCTCCCCTTAACAACACTCTTCAGATCAGACCCTTGCACAGACAACTGGGTTGTTTCTGTAGGAAATCAGTACAATTTAGAAATCATTTTTTTGCTCTCAAAGGAAACATAATTTTGAAATTGCCTTTCCATTGTGTTATCCTCCATCCTGAATAAGGTCTGATGGGGAGTAGATGGAACTTGCCCATGTTTGCCCATTAATTAAAATGTAATACCAAAGTTGAACTTTGAATTCTGGTGGAGTCTTTAAATTAATATGAACAAATAGAGAATCGAGATCCCTCAAAAGCATGGCTTATAACAACCAACATAACAGGGCCTCCCTGGTGGCCTAGGGGTTGAGTCTCAGCACTATCACTGCTGTGGCCTGAGTTTGATCCCCAGGCAGGGAGCTGACCCACATAAACATCAGCAGACCTCTCTTGTCTTGCAGTGGATTTCAGTCGATCTGCCTGTTCTGCTCCCCACTCTGTCTCTGGTGAACCCTCTCACCTCCCACACCTCTGGCCTGCACCCCTGTTCTTCTATGTGAAAAAACAACAACTAAACAAACAAAACAACATAACAGCACTTCAATTCCTGAGTCTGGGATTGTGAAAATGAATGATCACTTGTTTCCTGATTTATGAGAATTACCCTGGGACCTATGTTTCTGTGAAAAGAAAATGCAAAACTTACTAATGATGTAAGCGGCTCCAGGGCCCCTTCACCATGACAGTAAGCTCTTGTCAAAATCCAGAACTGTTTCCTTTTTACTTCAATGGAGTAGATTTGCTGAACTTACTTTACGTAGAGCTGAGCTCTACTGACATATGGACGCTTAATGAATATTTGATGGTAGAGACTATGCTGGCACAGAATATATGTGGTGGCCACAGGAGAATGGTAAAATATTCTAAGCTATTTAATTTAGACATAAATTTATGTAATAAAAGACAGAGATTCACGCCTTTTCACCCCAGTGTGTTGCATTAGGAAAAACTCCAACTAAAAGGGAGGTAACAGGAATGAACATCTATTAGCTAATATGTACTGCAAATTTATGTATCTATATAGACTATTTTATTTCATCTTAGCCATAATCATTGGGAGTCTCATTTTTCTGAATTTAAGATGCCAGTGATTACATGGTGAGCCAGTATTTGATGTACCAGTAAGAAAAAATTCAGCTGATGAAATTGTGATATACCATTGGTAGACTGTACCCTGATTTCAGAGATGTCAAAATGTGAAAATAACATGCATCTTACAGATAATAAAATTCAATATTGATAAGGAAGTAAACACAAGCCACATGATCAGTTAGTAATTGTGACAAAGACAAACTATAAGTGCACCAATGAATTGTGTTCCTTTCCACAGGGCAGAGTTATTACTGAGAAAAAGCTGGACAACCAAAAAGTCCCATTCTCCACATTCCCAGGATTTGGCCAGTAGAATACGGAAACAATCACTGTTGTTACTTCCAAGTCTGAGAGGTAAAGAATAGTAGTACTTCCCCATCCTCTCTCTTGTCCTGCCTACCATTAAGGCTGATATCCAGGACAGCCTTACAAGTATCTGTGAATATAGCAGAGCCTCTGTCAGCCTGGGCGAATGACCACAGTGAACAAAAACCCTTGTCATACCTTCAAATCACTGTCCCACACAGGGATGCCACACTTGGCTTGTGAGGGCCATCACAACTCAGGACTAGCTTGTTACTGGGCTAGAATTACTCCAAATAATACAGTGGCAGGATTAGAAGTTGAATATGAGATTCTAAAGTTTGGACTCAGTCTATGAACCAGGAAAATATAAACTTCTAAGGCCTGGACTCAGTCTATGAACCAGGAAATTATTATCCCTCACTAAAGAGACCAAAACATACATCCATACATAAGTGGATGAATAAATCAATGAATAAATGTAAATAAAATAGGACTGATTGCTTCATTTTAAATGTTCACCATCCAGTTTGAAAAAATGAACAGAAATCAATAGATTTAAGACTGATATATTTCAGAGAGAAAGCCCAGAGTGGGACAGATGTGAACAAAGAAATGAAAATAAATACAGCAAGTCCTTGAAGAAGATTGCTTTGTTCAACTTTGTTTTGGTGTTGATGGGGAAAAAAATTGATTCCCGCCTGGAACATCCAATGTCTGTATGGAGTTGGCTGCTTACCCCATGTCTAGGTGGGGTTTCTGCAGGTTCAAGAGTTTTTCCCACACCCCAAAGATTTTCATGTTGAGTTGATTATAGCATGTCTGACTGTTCTACTCTGAGTGTGGGTCTGTGTGAGAAGGTTCCCTGTCATGGAACCGGCTCCTGTCCAGGGTTGACTCCCAGGAGCCTTGTACCCAGAGGTGCCGGGACAGACTTGAGGGCCCCTGAGCTAGAGTAAATGGAGTGGACGGTGAATGAATACAAATGACTGTTGAGTACAAGAAGTGTTCTGGGTCTTTATTTATAAGTGTGGTGGTGTTTTTGTGGTCAGAAATATGTCAGGGGACTTCATTCTTGTTTACGTCAATTAGCCTTGGGTAAATTGTTTTCATCAGATAGTGTTTTGCTGAAAGTCACCATTTTATAGAGCCGATCCATGACATTAAGTGAAGACTTACTATAATGAATGAGGGAATGATTTTAAAATAGGTAAAAGTCACCTATGTTGGGCCTCCCTGTTGGCGCAAGGGGTTAAGATGCAACCTATGAAGCTATCCGCAGCCACTGCAGCACAAGTTTGATCCCCAGCCAGGGAGCTACCCACATGGCGCAGCAGACCTCTCCTGACTCACCCACTGCTCCCCTCAGCAGTGTATTTCAGTAGATCTGCCTGTTCTGTTCCCCACTCTGTCTCTGGTGAATCCTCTCACTCCCCACACCTCTTGGCCTGCACTCCAGTTATTGTGTGCATAAATAAATAAATCTTTTTTTAAAAAGTGACCTATGTCTATGTTCTATCTCTTTCTCTCTTGCTTTCTCTCCTTTTTCTATTGCAGTTTGGGTTCTAGAGAGTTGTTATAATCCTAGCCTATTAAATATTTTAATACCTCCAAATCCAAAAAAGATAGCCCTCTAACCTGAAAGAGTTTGAAGCAAAGGAAAGGGAGGGAGCAGCAGCCTGATTGGAACTGGATAAAAGGGAAAGAAGGGAGGTGAAGGAATGGGAGAGGTCAAGAACACAGGTCTACATTCAAGACAAGAGTCTGACCCATGGACCCACCACTTTTTACACCAGAGCCTGTCATCCCGAGTAATCATTTCACCTCTCAGGGTTGAGTCAACTATGTCATCCATGATGGTATGGAAATAAAGCACACCTCCCAGATTAAGAGAATTAATGACAAAAAATGCACATAAACCAGGCACAAAGTGAGGACACACTGATACTTGTGATTACACCTGCTGTCATTATTAATCATCTCACCTACTTGTAAATAGCCAAGTGTGCTGTTAACATACATCTTCTCTACAAGATACAAGGTGTAATTCCAACTTTGTACAGAAGAAAAAAGCAAGTCTGCCTTCAGCTGTGAAACCAACTGAGGTTCTGAGCCTGAGGAACTTTCTATTTCAAATTTAAAAAAGATTTTTTGGGGACTGCTGTTAACATGCCTTGAGGGAATGATGAGCTGAAAAACAGGAAGGTCTGTTTGGCATGTGATGTTTCAAACACTTTATTGCTAATATTAAAATAGGACTTGCTTTACAATTTGCAATATTATAAGAAATAGGAAAGGCAAAAAACATTAAAAACTTACCTGTTGTTTTTCATTTGAACCCTTCTTATTGGTTTCTTTTTTATTTTCATCTTCATACACTAGAACAAAGTCGATCCTTCGCTGCCCATCATTGAAAAAGAGGGAGTCAGATTTTCCGTTAAACTCTTCCTGCGTGCAAGAGAAAGACACATTTTGATGTCAGTTTTTCAAAGGGCCAGTTTATAAATGTTGATTTTCTACTTTTAATAGAAGACATTTTATAGAGAATAAATACATCCACTCCTGGGTCCTTGACCAAGATCGTGATCACTGTGGATGTCATGACGGCAGTCTGTTCTTGGTTGCAAGAAGTTCTTGAACTGAACAGTTTGATAACGATTCTACAAATGTTCTAGAAATGCAAAATCAGTACTATCTATATTGCACAACCATCCCACCTCAAGCAGCATAAGGAATACCAAATCTGGAGGTGATCACAGTAACTAGAGAAGTCTACTGAAGTTCATCAAACATTAGAAAACCTAAGGCAAAGCACTCTTCAAAATCTCATCCTTTTAATGTTTATTTTCTAACCTTTTCATCATTTTACATGACTTTTCTTTGGACCTTTCTACTTTAAATGAGACATCATTTTATAACATTAAGCATCAGAAGATACTCAATACACAGAACGCTGTAACAGTCACTGATATTTGTCCCCAAATCCACAAAAGATACCTCTGGCTAGTAGCAAACTATTTTAAAAACCACCAACGATGGCAAAATAAATGAGTCTTTAATTTATAATTTAAAAAGCCTTTTGGACTAAACATAAAGAAAAAATGATAGAACACAGAACCAATACAATTTAAAACAATCTCTGTTTCCAAAGGATTTGCATAGAAATACTCTCATTTAGTCTAAGGAAAAACGCTTTGTGTTCCTAGGAGTTGTCCTCCGGATGCTTATGCTAATTTTGCTGTTGTTTAAGAACCAATCTGCTTTTTAATTATTCAACATATTTAAATTTTATTTTTTTAACACTTATAGAGGTATCACATTTTGCAATCATTTGGTGGAATGACTCAATCATTCGATGTGATTAATTCTCCTTAGCATTCAGGGTCAATACAAAAAGACCTAATTTTGCTACCACTGCCTCATTGCCTGGACATGTTTGAGAAGATGTATTCTTTTGCTGAGATATAAAACCTGACACCTGTCATTCATTTCCTCTTTCCCACCATAGAGTATGTACAGGCTTATGAATAGTATTCAAAGACCCTTCATCTGGCAGGTTATTTATTGCTCCTGCAAAAATGCACATGGCTGATAAAACCTGACTCAGCACATTTTTCATCACAGTCACATTTAACTAGGGATTCCAAGCACAATGTGGCACAGCCTTAGGCCCCTCCTCTCCACGAAAGGGGCCAGGAAACCAGACACACCCAGGACTTAGGCAGATGCCACTATGCAAGGCTTTCATTTTCAATTTCAGCTCTTTAAAACCCATACACTTTCCTGAAGAATATTTGAAGCTATACAATATTGTTAAGCCCTGTCACTTCCATTTCAGGCACAGAGTCCTTTACGCTCCTTCAATTTCTCTTGCTTTCAATGAAGATGTTCCTATTGGTGACAAACAGGACAGTTGCTTGGGGCAAATTTTGCATGGAAATTTTTTTTCTCAGAATCAAAAAAAAAAAACTTTTTTTTCTCAGAAAGGGGAGGTAGGACAGAGCAGTGTCAACCACAGAAACTTGGTTGCCTTTAAGACGTCGAACAAGTATACAAAATGCAACTTGTCTGCCTCCCTGGCGGCCTAGAGGTTCAGTCTCAGTGCTATCACCATTACAGCTTGAGTTCGATCCCCGGCCAGGGAGCTGACCCACACATAGCATAGCAGACCTCGCCTGTTTCGCCTGCTGCTCCCCTCAGCAGTGGATTTCAGTATATCCACCTCTTCTGCTCTCCACTCTATCTCTGGTGAATCCTCTTACCCCCCACACCTGTAGCCTGTACCACAGTTATTCTACACAAAAATAAATAAATGAAATGATAAAAAACAAAACAAAACAAAATGCAGCTTGTTCTCAGAAAGCCTTTGGCATCAGTAAGGAGCTCATTGAAGATAAGTCCTGAAAAACAGGGCCGAGAAGAGCAGCCACATCCACACAGGCTCTGGGTGCATCTTCCTCCATGGTCAGTGTTAGTCACACATCTGCACACTCAACTCCCAGACAATCCAGCTGCACACTCAGCTCTCGTGGACAGAAGAACATGACCTGGCAGAAGGAAGCCCCACTGACTTGACAGCAATTATTTGTGCCAAAAAACTAGGTCAACTCTGGTATTACTAGAAGGCAAAGCCGGGGAAAGGAGCCCTAGGGTTCTGCTGCTGTGAAGGCAGGCCCTACTTTCTCAGAAGACATTTCTTAGGCCACTAGAAAGAGGGAAAAGTGAAACATCAAGATGGAAAAAGTTGGCAACACAGATGAGAACTGGTCTAAATTTAAAGACTTATTTATGAATAAAACTGCTGGGTTTTTTTTTAATAAAGCAAGATATCTCAGTAATAATTTCTACAACAGGCCTAACTCACCCAACAAGACCTTGAAATGACAGGAAACTGAAAAACAATTCGTTTTGTGAAGTTCTATTGATGCAAAGTTGAATTAGTAGTCATTTCTCAGGATAAATACAGGTAAAGTCTTCTTGAAATGGTTGATTGTTCAGAGAAGGATTCTTCAGTTTTGAACTCTGTGGCTTCTCTGAGCAACTCAAAATGGGATGGGATCGTTAGTCTTTCTACTGAGTCAAAAGACACCAAGATAAAGCATAAAAAAAAAAAAAAAAAAAACCAAAAAAAAAAAACACCCAAGTGTCTCTGCTTGGGCAGCTTAAATTTAAAAACAGTCGAAGAGAAAGCTTAAAATGTATCAGGCCCGATCCTTTTAGAGAGTAGCACTCATACATGGTTACCAATATTCCCACTAGGAAATTTAATTAATTAAACCAATTTTTTACATTCATCGGAGTAACTAATGGTTACCCTGAGGGACTTCGGAAAATGTTAATACCAAGAAAGTAAGCAGAGTCTCCAGTTATTCATACTTCTTTCTCTCTGGAGAAAATATCAGCGCATTTCTAATTGGAGGTCAGAGTCTATAGCATGCTCTATCTGTGCAAAGCTGTGCCCTCTGCGGCCCAAGGACACCAGGTTCCCCTAATCGAGCATTTACGCTCACTTGTAGCAATCTGACCGAAAGCTGTATGAAAAGTTAAAGGCTGCAGTAATTAAAAAATTATGTATAGTCATTCCATATTATTATATCAAAATAAAACAATACTGCCAATGACCACAGGTTGAATGAACTGACTGCCTTGTCTTTGGTTCCTGCTTTGTTAGGTGTGTGTGTGTGTGTGTGTGTGTGTGTGTGTGTGTGTGTGTGTGTGTGTGTGTAGAAGAACTGGGGTGCAGGCCAGAGGTGCGGGGGTGAGAGGATTCATCAGAGATGGAGTGGGGAGCAGAAGAGGTGGATCTACTTAATTAAATCCACTGCTGAAGGGAGCAACGGGCGAGACAGGAGAGGTCTGCTGTGTCCTATGTGGGTCAGCTCCCTTGGCGGGGGATTGAACTTAGGCTGCAGTGGTGACAGCACTGAGACTCAATCCCTAGGCCACCAGGGAGGCCCTGGTTCTTGCTTTGTCATTTCATACTTGGGGTGAAAAGGAGATAGGTGTGGTCTGAGCAGGAAAGAGTTGAGAGGTAAAGGCTATTGCACAGAGGGATATATTTGAGAATGAGAAGGGAGGTCAGGTTCCATGGACACAAAGTTTCCAGACTCCCTTCTCTCAACTGGCTTCTCTTGTTTTTTGTGTGAGGTAATTACTTCAACACAAGAGCCCAACAGGTTTCATTTGCAAATCAGGACAAAAATGCAAGCAGCAAAATCACTCTGCCTGGTGCTTTCATGCTAGAGTTGTGAGTTCGAGAACATGGTTTGTGCATTGACTAGGAATACACATGGCAACCAATATTGTCCTTGGGGCCAGCGGACACTGTATTGTAGAACAAAAGGTTGGGGAAAATGTCCTAGTGGGCAGAATGACCAGTCCAAACACAAGAGTCTTCTGATAGTCACTGGTTGGACATGTTCTTACAGACAGGCAATCTCTGTATTAAGTAAGGAAGTGGCTTCTCTTGGAATATGATACTTCAAGGTCACATGAGGATCTGGGATGGGGAGGTCTGTGTTCTGGGCAGCGGATGAAATATTGGATAAGAGAGAACCTGGGGAAATGTCCATCTGAGTATAACTTCTCTATGGCATCTACAATGGTTACAGTTCAGTAGCCTGTCTACATATGCAGCCTCCTAGAATTCCTGGTGCCAGCCTTTTGGTGAGTGAGTCTATGAACTACTGGATTGTCAAAAAAATCATGATGCATTTTTTTCAAAGATATGCCATGACTTTTCTGACAATCCAATAGTTTGCTGTTAATATGTATCCAATTTACATTTATTTCCCAAGTATTTACAAAATGAGGTCTCAACTGACCCTGCAAAACCAATATTGCAATTCCTATCTCACAACAGATACATCTGTTGAATCTAAAATGCTGAATTTAAAGGATTTGTCCGAGAGTTGGTTAAAAAGTAGACTAGGTTCTGCTCTAACTTTAAGGGTATAAGAGAGTACGAAACTTGTCTTGGTCAGCAAGGGATTTTATTTGACAGCGTGTCCATAACTTTCAAATATTCTGTTCTTGTCCTATACGGTTGTCATTTACTATGGAATGGAGAGCAGTCCAGGTTTACTTGGGTTAATAATCTTTACCTTTATACAAAGCAGGATACAAGAAAAGCTTATAATCTAACAATAATAGTTAAGGAATTACATGATTGGAAGCAATATCATAAAACGCTCATAAATAATTTAGAGTAGTACTGATATCTGAAGGTGGAAAAATCATGTAACTCTGTAGTCTTCAAGTCTAGTAAACCAGACTCCCAATAATGAGTGCTAGAGAGGATGCAGAGAAAGAGGACCCTGTTAGACTGTTGATAGGAATGTAAACGGTGCAGTCATTCTGGAAAATGATCTGGACTTACCATAAAAAAACTAAAAAAGGAAATACAATATGACCCAGATGCCCACTACCCTTGGGCATCTATCCAAAGA